TTAAATGCACGTATTTTCTGCCGCCTCCAAGAACCTGGCTCGGTAAAAACTGACAGCCTTAGTAGTGTGTACGCAATTTACTGATTTTCGATGCCTTCATATATTTAGATGCCTTCTATAGTAGGCCTCAACAAACATATTATTCCGCATGTCAGCATGTTTCCTTTAAAATTTGTACACAGAGAAATGACATTTTGCGGTCTTAGAAATATCTTTTGACCCTGAATAAATTCAAACCCGGTCTACCGTTGCATTTTCGTTCAAGGCAGAGTACTTTCCGTGTAGGCAACATCATGCATTCTTTTATGTCATTGGAAAAATGCCGTATGGGTTCATAGAAAGTTCCATCGGATTGGAACTTTACAGAGTACCTAACGAGAAGCATTTTTAAGCAGACAGATGCCACGCTATTTGATTGGACATTGTACGCTCCTGAAAACTCCTAAGTAGAAAACTTTTTAAAACCGAGGCGCACTCGTAAATCGTAAAAACTACATGATTGCCCACCGAAGGAGTTCAAGAAATAATATTTTCATTGAGGTTACCTGTAGAATGCACTTGAATCTACAAGGGCATCAAATGCCAGTGCAGAAAATTCATACTATTCAGGTTGTCACTTTTTTACTGAGTGCGCACTTTGTAGTCGTTCAAAAGGCAGTGTATTCAAAAGCTATGATCCTAATATCCATGAAATGTTAGGGGATTATGCCAAAACATAATCAGCCTTAGAACCTCCCTTAAGTAGTCCTTTAGAGTCAAAAAAACATATTTTATAATTTCAGTTAACATTTCGTGAGATCGATCATTAAATGCACTACCAATGCCAGTGTAGTTAAGCCCAGTTGCCGGTAATAATCAACACGGACAATGAAATAGCGACAAATACAGGCTAGGATTCGGATGATTAGACAAGCATTTCACAAAGTATGATCATCGGTAGCGCACATGAGGACTGCTGGCTTTTATTAGTAGTTAGTTGATAACAACTGAATCCTATAAATACTACATCCTGGTACGTCAAGTAGCTATATCTGTTGCTATCTTATATGTTTGCATGAGAATCCGAAGTATCCGACATAAATTAACTTCTTCGTCCAGCGATTACATCTGTTCTCCTTAACGCATCTTGTACTCCAAGCAGAATCACGTCCGTTTTACGACACATTGCTAAGCAGAAGGCCAGACTGCCGTGTCCGCGATAGGTGTACAGAACGAAAACTTAGATGTAACAATATACAAGTCTACACGGCCACACCCATTTGAGTCGGAAACTATGTCTTGTTCATTGTTTTTTGTCTTGTAAATACTATGTAATTCGTGCTAGATCTCATCAGGAATATCTCAGGGGGGATATATGCACATCGACAGACACCTTTAGGGGCAACCAGAAGACCGACCACTAAAAATGTTAGACAAAATTTTCACAAACAGAAACGGTTGCGCGTACCTTCTTCCCTCACTTAAGTTAGTTTCGGACGGAACCCGCACAAAGTAGAAGTTAAACGTGAAATTCATGGGTGTTCTCTGGGAAGATTCTTTGGAGGGGGACGCAACGGCTCCATAACAACTGTCAGTCCATGATGTAGACTTGCGTTGCATATGCCTCACTCGCTCATCATCACCCACCGTAGTGCGATGTCGTGATAAAGTTAAGAAATCTTGGGGGGAATGACCGACGCGGCGTTAGTCTACACCCAGACGTTCCACCACAATTCATATATATGGCCTATGTTATGGCTACGCAGTCCCATAACGCTTAGCGTGTCCCGATCTCGTCTCCGTGTTGGTCCAGCGCATCTACAGGGTGATCTGTTGTACGGAAAACGTACCGTCGTCATGAACTGCGGCGATTACATTGGGAAGATAGAGGCCCCCGTGAAGTCCACCGGGCCGATTAAGCGTAGGCCTAAGTCGCAGGCAAAATTGAAGACTTGCCTGGTTTAATTTCCGACAAAATTTATGCGCAAACTTGGAAGCTCTTCAGAGAGATTTACTCCAAGTTCGCGCATTAGTTTGCTCGGAAATTAAACAATGCAAGCTAAAACTGGAGTTTACAACCCGAAAACATACGGGGATAGCTGTTGGACTTACTGATGAGCCGAACAACTGGCGGCTGTGTCAGGTAGCGGCACAAGATTGGTGAAACAAGTGTGTCCGGGATTTCAGCTAACACCTGTGTTGTTTCGTTCGGTAAATGATTGCACAATTCTATACCACTGTTTGCCTATTGGCGGTTTGTGAGTATTACACGGTTATTGCGCAGTAGCTGATGGATTTCAGCTCGAATACTCGTATCAAATTTGAGACCATGCCTAAAAAGGTGTGTTCCGAAAGATTTATTTTAAGTTTGCACATTAATTTCCTCGGAAATTAAACAAGGTTAGGTGAAACTGGAGTTTGTATACTAGAAAACACACGGAAGAACCTGGCGGGCCCATTGATAATCCGAAAGCATCGAATCGGCATCAGGCAGCGGCTCAAGATCAGCAAAACACGCATGTCTGGGCTTTTACCTAATACCTGTGTTGTAAGTACGGTAAATAATTATTCAATGCTATAGGAAGTGACAACTAACACGTGTGTCAGCCGGACGCTCTCACCACACCTGTGTTGCTAGTATGGTAAGGTGATTACACAAATTAAAAACTAATCAGCCAACCGGACTTCTAAAGAGATTCGAGCTTTAAAACGTGACTTAGCTGGACGACTGGCGGGAAGCGAAACCAATGCACTGGCTCTGTGGATGAGCCACAGTCCATAAGCCTTGTGTCCTCTTTCGGCTAATCGTTACTTTGAGGAACAGCTTTACGAAGAGTCTATGCAAATGGATGGTCTGCAGTTTAAACCTTCTTCGAGATAACTTAAGGAACCTCATCGATCCAGACTCCAAACTCAGCCTTACTGACATCCGGGAAAACCTGTCAAAGATGACTTTATACTGACGTAATTAGACACGGCTTCATATTCACATTTATCTTGCCGGACTCACACCATATTCTGCACCAAGAGTTGAAGAGAAAGGTGGCTAAATGTAGATCATTAAGCGAGACGCCCTGCCTTCTACCAACCAACTTTAATGGCTGGACATAAAAACGCATTAAAAAGGTCGATGCATCTTTCAGTCTTCAGGCTAGTTACTTTCAGTCCCCCCCAGGGGCCCGTGTGTTTTGGGCGCCGATACACAGATACTGCATCAATTATAATTGAGAGAGGCCGGCTATCATGCTTGCAGGGAATGCTAAACAACACCTTTGGCAACAGTTAATCTACAAGTCAGCAAGCAAAGGCCTCACCGTTAACATTGACGATTACATCATCCGCAGATCTAGGGATGGACCGACAAGCTGCCTAAATCCTCAGTTATCACAGCAATCACATGATGGTGCATCTACGTGGCAGCGTTAAGACACTCATACAAGGGGTGGCAAGGAACGACACGGAAAAACGAAGGCGCAAACGCTGACACCGAAACAAAACAGGAGGGATGAGCTACCTTCACAGCATCATCGCGTACGCACCCAACGTATGAGCTTAAGAGGAACAAACAGGATAAAGCCAAACATGTTAGCGTCATCTACTGCATATGAGAAATGCACCACAAATGCAGAACTCCGTGCCGCAGAGTTTGGCCTTGATACTGTCCATCGTCTGGCATCTACAGTGTGTAAAATGGTCAAGCGAATGAAGAGCCATCGGGATGCAGATGAGTAATGCGGTGCAGTATATCCAATTTCATGTGGCGCCTGCCCTTGTCTTTATACAGGTCAAGCAGCACAAGTCACTGCATAGACCCCGAAAAAGGACCACAAATTCGACTTTGTCTAAACGCGGATATAGGCGGGTTCTGGCGATGAGATGGAGCGATAGCTGCCGGAGGTCTGGTTCTCTTATACCAGCTCATCGAATTGACGCGTTGATATGCCATCCCACCGCCATCACGCGGTACGCACACACGACCGGATGGCGCGGCCTAGGACGCAGTGGGTCACCATATCACGAGTTGGACAACATGACTCCAGGCCAGCCAGGTCACATGTATTCTCTTCTCTCCCTTCTAACCCCTCGTTATTCGACTGCACAACTATTAAATTCTGAATGATCATCGCTCATATTTCACTTCCTCAAAAAAGGCAAGGACAGGCTGGCCAGCTGCTGTTGGTATTATTAAATATCGAAAAATATTCTAAGTGGGAAACGAAATGATGAAAACGTCCCATGTGGCCGGTTTGTCGTCATCAGTTGCTAACACGCCTACCGCCAGGTTGTAGAGAAGGGGACTTTGGAACGGCATTCATCATATCGGCGAAACGGCATTCCATCACGAAATGTTGACATTTGTTGACCTTATTCCGCGTTCTGGACGAAATAAGCGTTTTCTTGTTTTCATGAGGCACTGATCTAAATACTTCAAGGCATTTCAGTAGGGAAAATATACCATCAAACGGAATATATTGACGAGGAAAACGAGGACGATCGCCGTGGTCGACACTGGCGGTGGACAGTCCACCACTCAGCATGGATGGGTGATGGCCGTTCTCGTGTGACTTTAAACTAGTGGTTTTTGTAACGGATAAATTACATTGAATTATAACTGGCGTCGATTCTACTTATTGAACTATTATCTTCGAAAACTGTCTTACAATGCCTCAATTAATCCCGAGCAGAGGGCGTACTACAACTATCCCTGCGATTCGAGTACTGAGACGTTAAAAAATGCACACACATATTTAGCAGTAAAATTTGCGTTTTCAAAAAGTAAAAAAATTAAAAACGGTCGGGCGCAGTTGGATCACATAATCGTTCAATGATATGATGTGGTCTCTGAGATGTGAAAAATGAAACACTATAATAACAGCACCCCTTCTCACAGCCTTCTGAAACTCAGTATGGAAGAAGAGAAAGAAGAGTGCGCCTGAGAGAAGCACAGACATAGATGGAGTTTGAGGGGAAGCCCAGGTGTATACTGGTGAAGGCAAAAAAACCAGTCGCCAGGCACCAAGCTAGTACTGCGTGAACTGGAGCATGCCCATAATATCAGCGTCCCCACAGGCCCCACGGATGAACTCCTCCCGCGACAACTGCCCATCTCTGTTGATGTCCAGTTTTGCAAATATGGCGTCTGCGTGTTGCTCCGGAGTCATGTGGCCCGGAGGCAGTTGGTCGGAGTCCACAACGCCAATCAGACTGTAGAGGGCCTAGGGAGATGCAATAAGTTAGACTGAGTAGATAATACTGCCTCATAGTTACTGTTTGTCGAATGAATCAGACCCGTTTGAGGATGTGCTTTTGGAATTTCGTAAAGATCCCCGTACATCTTATTCTATTTCACTTTCGAAAAACCAAACATCTAAAAGATCCCGGATAAAGACAAAATAATTACGAAATATTAAACCAATTATGAGTGTTGGCATGTCACCAAACGGATTCTCCGCGGCAGGCTTTTCCCGTTGAACTGTTTGGCAGTAAGTAAGCGACGACCATTGAAGTTCACTTGTACGATGTAGTTTTTAGCTTCTATTTCAGTAGGTGGATAATCTGTCTTCTTGTAGCTGCAGAAGAAACTTTAAAACAACTTGTTTTCTGCTATTGTTATAAGGGTCTAATGGCATGAGTAGCGGAACACAAACAACATCCTTTACTTTGGGCTGATGTAGAGAGGGAGAATTTGCTTTATTTTGAAATTAAACATTTAAGATTTTCAACAGAAAATGTGTTCCATCCACAATGGGCAGTAAATAAATTAATATGTTACTCCAGAATCAAAAGGAACGATTATTATGGGGACAGTTTAAGTCTTGGTTTCTGTATTTCCACCTCCTCGCATGTAAGATACCGCGCCAGGATGTTATGAGAAAAGTAATAAAACCTGGTATTTTTGCCTTTTCTTATGTTGTAAACACAGTCATCTCAACATTCAATGTAAGTTCGTCCGGTGAGATGATCATGGCTGGTTAGGGCCAAGGATGTCCGCCTTGCAAAAAAAATCACTAGCATAGGAAAACACCCATTGTATTCTGTAATTCGTTATTTCGTAAATGTACCGCATCAATTCAACGTGTGAGTACGAGGGAGTACAGAAACAAAGTGGACTCTAGCATAGACCATAGAACGTCCTCCTAATTGCAGACAGGAAGGAATACAGAAGAGATACCAAAACAGGTAAAATGCCCAAAGAAGATGTTTTCCATATCTTCGAACGGGAAAAAAATGATGCGGTGATGGTCAAAACCTCTTGGCATGGAACATTTGCCGGATCTAACGCAGTCACCAGGTCACGTGCTTGCTTTTGTCAGGGTGCATATTCAACCCTATGCATAAATTACACAAAAATGTCGTTGCTGAACAACGTGCTCTTTAAGATACTTTTTAATTCAAAAAGAGGTTCACAGAGATTGCATGTCCGCATTTAGATTGTAGGATCTCGCGTCGAAATCTAGTTTGACTGAGAGTCTGGTCTCTCTTGTCTTTTTCGATAATAACATTCTGCCTGTATCACGCGTCGCCTTGCGGCTGATGGTTGGGCTCAAGAGAGATCCTGGAAGGCATAACAGGGGTAGTTGTTTCCGTAAGAACGATCTGTGAGCGCCTTTCTACAATTACTTCAATGCTGACGGTTTCTTTAGATTGACGGCAGGTCAATCATGAGCCGGCTCGTCGCCGTTTGTGTGCTGACTCTGCATTCGCCCCTTATGGACTTTTTTTCCAACCACATATAAGTAGGTCCTTACATTTAGAAAGATCGGGAGATTTTCGAAAGTAAATCCTGCGCCTTGTCGTACTAGTCATCAACAACGAATTAGTAGGATCCAGATTCAAGGCATCGGTACAAAACGGATTTCAGATATGCCAATATTTGTAAAGCAGAGGTGGTATACATTCCGAGGCGATATGAAGAAAAGAAAGAGGTTCTTCGAAAAACTCTGAAGAACATCTTCTTTTTTCATGTTAATATTTGGCTGAAAACGTTCTTTGTCAAATCCAGATATTGCACAACATACATCTAAAAGCGATGCACAGTCAGAAAAGTGCAACAATGATGTAAGCACTTAATTAATTAATATTTTCACTCGCCCATTGCATGCAATGCGGCCGTACAAAGCTTATAGTTGGTTTAGTACGGTAATACGGATTTCCCGCATTACAGATCGCCTTGTCCTTAATCCCGATTTAGGGTTAGGATGAGGGTCATGCTTACAGCCAATGACCGAGCTCACGAAATGTAAACTGAAATAAAATGTTTTTGATTCGAAAGGATTACTTAAGGCGGGATCTCAGGTTGATTAATTTGTGGCATAATCCCGTAAAACGGCATGCATGCTGGGATGTTGGCTTCCGAATACACTTCCTTTCAACATATCTGACAAAACTTTTGAATAAAAATAATCCCCGCCTTTTGCCTGTATTTTCACATATTTTTAGGGTTCTCATGCTTCATTCCGCTTAGCTTGGAGTAAATCTAAATAACTTTGTGCACGGCTGTAAAGCAAATTCCCGGACTTTATATGTTCCAGTGTTCTCTGTGGTAGCATGTCCCATGATGCCCACCAAGAGGTTTATCCCATCTACAGTAGGTGTGTTGTGTCATTAAATATTAACCAAAATTCTGAAATGTGTGTTTGATTCCAAAAAATGAGTAAAATGCAGTTTTAAGATCAAGCGCCGTGTAGCACAACCCAAGATCTTTCAAGCCCGTCAGGATGCTGAATTCTAAACGAGTTACTATTAAGCCGTCTGCGAAGACTGCGCTTTCTAAAAAATGATAGTCTAGGTAACACGATTTTTTTCCTTGACTGTCTGCGCCTAATAAATTCAAATGTATTTTAGAGAGAACGGTTACAAAATATATCTCCTGTTATTTATTCGGTAGACAATTACGTCTTTCTAAATTTAGTACTTAAAAGTAGAGTGTCAGTAGGTCATCAAAACCTTTTCCATTTCTCACGAAAGCTCGAACACAACTTGCCACCTAGCTTGCGTTGGTGGTTTTCAAACTACAAGCTGGATATTTTCTGCGAATTGATACCATATGAAGTTCATAAAATTTTGCGGTGAATTTTGAGCACATTGTATACTTTAGAAACAGCATTGATAAATGCAAAGATTCGATTTTTCATATATAAACATCTCACTCTTTCACAAAATCTTATGATTAGAAACTTTTTACAAAAAGGCGATGCTTTTTTAAGTATAAAATGCAAAAGAGTGTGAAAACGATTACCTTTGTGCATGTTTTGCACGAAATCTATTTGAAATTATAAAGGCATCAAAAATCAGTGAGAAAACTTCATGTCACTCAAAAAATCCCTTTTTACAGAGTGCTGCTATTGCAGGCGGTTTAACAGAGGCCCTCTCAAAAGCCGGTATCCTGACGTGACTAAAATATCTTTGGGTTTTGCTACACGGTAACTAATACTGCAACCCTAATTAGTTTATCTTTTTGATCCAGAAAGAAGTCCAGTAAACAAGTCCTGAAATAAAACATCTATTGTAGTGTCCCAAAACTCTCATGACTTACAAAGCATGCTGCGTTGCCTAATTTTGACAATACGATTATCACTTTCAACACTTTAAGGAGGCTGAAAAGATCACACAGTCGGGTTTCGTGCTGTGTGCAAGCGCTGTGCTTTCTACAACCCGCCATAAATAAATTTTTCAATGGGAAAAATTGCGGACTCTGTAAAATATCCTTCGCATGCATACATTCTCCGCGAATGTAAGTTTCGTCTTATATGTCGCCGCTCAGAATGCAACAGGCTTCTCTTAGAACTCCGCAAGAAAGTCATAATTGCTTAGTCGATTCGCTGTAGGCGTGATTGCGGTACCCGTGTCCTAAGTTCAGTAAGCCCGGAAATGGGAACCCCTTGAACTACAGCTGGCCCTACGTTAGAGTGCAGACTGATCGACATTGGGGTCAAGGTTACGATTAGTGCCAGGGTTGGGATCAGTATTAAAGTAGGGTCAGGGTCGAGAAAGAGTAAGGATAAAGTCTATAGCTAGGGCTTGGAGAGGTGGTGGGTGTTCATCCTGGAGGCCAGGAAGGGGTCATTTTAATGTCGAGGGGAGTGCCTTTTTAACACGCATCCAGAGGCGACGCTGGTAGAGAGTTCGGAACTAGTGACACTCCAGAGAAAGAAGCTGCGATCGCTCGGACATGAAGTTTATTAGCTTAGCGACGATGCATATATAAAACGTGACAGTAGGTGACCAAAACGAATCTCAGGGAGATATTTTGACCAGCAAAAATATCACACTATCTCATTCTGAAGGTCGTCAAGGTACCAAGTGTACCGATTTTTAAAGGCACTGTAAAACCTTGCTCTTTGAAGGCACTGCAATTGGTCCGTGCTTATATCTATGATACCCTTTTCATAGGAAATAAGTGTATCCGTATGTGCTGTGACTGGCAATTTCGAAATTGTGTGAGCTATAATTAGAGAGTAAATTATAGGAAGTAACAGAAAGGGAAAGCTGGGCGACCCATTGATGAGCCGAACCCCTGGCGGCTGCGTCAGGCAGCGGCACATGATCGGCGAAACACGCGTGTCCGGGCTTTCAGCTAACACCTGTGTTATTAGTTCGGTGCATGGTTACATAATTCTATACTACTGGTTGCCTGTTGGTGGTTTGCGAGTTTTACACGGTTATTGCGCAGTAGCTGATGAATTACAACTCGAATAATCATATCAAATTTGAGACCGTGCGTCTGTTTCGAAAGATTTACTTTAAGTTTGCACATTAATTTTCTCGGAAATTAAACAAGGCTAGGTGAAACTGGAGTTTGTATACCAGAAAACACACGGGGGAAGCTGGGGGACCCAGTCATAAGCCGAAACTACCGTAGCTACTTCAGGCAGCGGCTCAAGATCGGCAAAACACGCGTGTCTGGGCTTTTACCTAATACTTGTGTTGTAAATACGGTAAATAATTATACAATCCTGCAGGAAGTGGCGATTAACACGTGTGTCTGCCGGGCGCCTTCACCATAGCTGAGACAAAACGCAGGTCCTCAAATTGATACTTTTATTTCCTTATGCAGCATATTCTGAACGGCTTTCTCAGCCTCGCGGGTAATGTAAATGGAAAATATATGCAGTTTTGCTGCTAAATGCTAGCCCGTCTACTTTCAGCCCAAGCGGCTTTGAACGTGGGCACTGAGAAAGACAAAACTTGACCGAGGATCGAAGACTTCCGGGTTCCTGAGTGATGCTTAAATTCGGCGTGACAAGGCCTGATCACGCGTAGGTTATAGGTATTAGCCAGCCCTAGAGTAAATTTCCATTCTACTAATGTGAAATTTCAACCGTCGAAAGCAAAGTGGCACACAGTCGGGGTTAGTTTTTTAATAAGACGGAATTGTGAGCCAGTCATCCCACCCCACATATTTATATAACCGCTTTGCTTAAATGGTAAAACGGTGTCAAGAACATCGGAGATGTGTGGGAGGGCAGAAGCTGATTAAGTCAAACAACCCGCCCACGTGTGTTACGCGAAACCTGAACTCCAGTCAATGTACCAGGACACAGTAAAGGCAGCTGCAAACTCCCGTCAGTAAGAATGTCGTGGAGGTCACATTGAGGGGGCGTTGTTTTAACCTGTTAGTTCTGAAAAGGATCGATCTGTGCCTTGGTTGACAGCCTTCTACACCAAGAGTACCAGCGCGTTATAGTGGGTAACGTGCTGGTTTTTTGTAGGAATAGATTCATTAATGCTTATGTAACTCTCTTCTTTCTACGACACGACAACCTACAGTGAGTGACCGATCTCATGAAATGTTGGGCAAAATTCTGAAATGTGTTTTTGATTAGGAAGGATTGCTTACGCGCGGTTGTAATACTGATTATCTTGCGGTATAACCCTTTAATATTTCGGACTCAACAGAATGTCAGCTTTTGAATACACTGCTGGTAATCCCTTGTAGAAACCGAACTTGACAAAAAAATGAATACTTAAGTAGCATGCCTTTTTCTCATTAATTTTCGGAGGTCTTATAAATTCCAACATATTTTATAGAAAACACGAACAAAAATACGCTTTCTTTCAGTCGTTTGATAGGAAGTCACGTCATCTTTCTACTTTACACTTCAAAAAGGATTATAATTTGGTTTTAAAAAAGTTCTCTAATTTCCGAATAATTTGAAGCCTGATCCGCCGTTGCATTAGCGTCTAACGATTTCAGTTTGCAAGGTGCATGCGTTCCGCCTAAGGAAAATCGTATAATCGTCCATGCCTTTAAGAAGATATCCTATTGGCTCCATAACATTTTGCAATGGATGCGGACTATGTTGTACATTTCAAGAGGAACAGTGGTAAACGGAGAGGTACAAAGCTGTATGAATAGACATTGAACGGTCCTGAACAATCTTGTAACTGGATACTTTTTGAAAACCTAATTATACTCATTCTTCGAGTGCAAAATATGAATTTGGCGTGAATGCCTATCAAACGAGTGGAAGAAAGAATATTTTTGCTCATTTTTCTTATAAAATTTATTTAAATTTATATGACTATCAAAAATCACTGTGAACAATGCATGCTACTTAAGTAGTCATATTTCGCCAAGGACGGTTTTCACGGGAGATTGAGAGAGGGTTAAAAGTCGACCTCTTGCAGGGTCCAAAATATTATAGGATTGTGCCACAAGATAATCAGTATTATAATCCCACCTAAGTAATCCATCCTAATCGAAAACACATTTCAGAATTTCGGTCAACATTTCATGAGGTCGATCACTCACTGTACACCTCCAGCCAGTTCGACAACTATTCCCAATACACAGTAGCTGGACCATCTCACTAAATTCTGACCTTCGTTTAGAAATGCGTTTTCAATTAGAAAGGACTAGATAGGCAGTATTTTGATATTTATTATCGTACAGCATAACTTCAAGATTATACTGTCACGTCAGAATGTCAGGTTTTCAAATAGGTTAATTCCGGTCTCTTCCAAAATTCCTGTTCGGTACAAAATAACCGTTTAGACGGTCTGAATGTTTCACATTTATTTTAGCTGCATCTATGAATTCAACTATATTCTTTAATAAATGTCTGCAAAAATAAAAAATATCTTCAAAATAAAGCTACAGTCGAAGTGATCGTGCCTTCGTCCTCTTTTAAACAAGAACTTGGGATGCGCACATTCTCTTCCATTCTTATCCCTTGATGTACTCATATGGTAGCGACTTACTTCATCCTCTGAGTTTAAAAACATTGTTTTTCAAGTATGTAACACGGAGAAGATAGTTGACTACAGAATGAGTATGAAAAGGACTATGTTGGACATATTCTATAAAAACCCATTTAAATTTAAAAAGACGTCGAACGTCAATGAGAAAAACTGATTTTAGCTGAGTAGTCACTTTTTTACTTCATAGAGTTATTGCAGGTGTCTAAAAAGAAACTCATTTTAAAGACAGCATTCTGGCATGGCTGCATGATAATCAATATTAAAAGCCCATCTAAGTAATCCTTTCTAAATGAAAACGCCTTTCAGAATTTTTGAAAACACTCCATGAGATAGGCCGGCTACTTTTTAATGATATTATGACTTTACTAATCATCAAAAAAGTCTGCATCTACAGTTAGGCACAATAACTTAGTAGACAGCGCTGTCATCAGTCGACGTCAGAAGAGCATTCTTCCACCAAACGACCCCTCCGTCCTACAAACCGCGACTTATCGGGCATTTGGAGTCAGAGTCCTCTGGGTGATGAAACCGGGGAATAAATAGTTAATTGAGATTGTTTTCTTTCGGAATCCTCTCTCCACTTTTCAGCTAGACTTCGACTTAGAGAGAGCCAGTTCACATAATTTTACCTCACGTAGCTGCTCTTGAGATGTCATAATATTTCAGCACAGATGGCGTAACGAGTCTGACTAGTCTTTGCTGACAGTGCCAAGAACATTCTGCCCTTTTCAGGGTGGGTTAGATTACTAATTGCGTACTCCCGTGGGCACCCTGTGACTGCTCTCCGATGATGTTGGTGTTCTCTCCTGGCATAAAAGCTGCTCTCTGTTATAGGTTGTCTGTCCAGGTTGTCTAACTAGCTGTCTCTCTCAAGTGCGTCCTTCAAACGAAAGAGCAATTCATAAGGAAACCGTAAATTCTGATGTATTTATCGCCGTCCTAAAGCTTCAGGTTCCGAAAAAGTGTAGTTCACTGACTTACTTATCCACTGCCAAATTTAAAGTCTCTACTTAGTTTGGCAGAAGTGCAGGCTGAAACAGACGAATGAGCTGAATAACGGTCGATAACATTCATCATGCATCTGACCTTGAAAACGACACAAGCAGCCGGAGATGCAAGTGCAAAAAAAGCAAATGATGAAAAACAAGGGGGAGTATTATACGAATCAAACATCTCACCAGAATTGCACATCGCTGTGTAAGCAAATGTCGATTAGCTAGTTGGAGACCAAAAACGAGCTTAATTCGAGTTTGAAAAATGGCTTGTCATCACGATATCAGTTGTTTCTAGAGTCCTTATTAGCACCGTGTAGGTGAAGGGTATAAGAATGGTTGGCATGTGACTGCGGTTAGGGCGACAGTCACTCAAAGAGGCACCCGAATGAGCCCGCTGTCAGGCAAGAGCGAAGAAGACCGTAGATGGAGTCCGGGTGCAGCGAACGACAGGGTCAAGCAGGCATTCTGGGAACAACACAGACACGCCTGTTCAGCATACAAACGACCAGTGTTTCAAAAAGGGACAATAGTGGTGTCCAGTATCCCGACTGAAATGGAGTGGCATGGAGTCCATATTAAAAAGGATCCCTGTAGTCTGACTTTCTGTTTATATAGGAGGATCGACTTCTCCCATTGGTTGAAAGCCTTCCAAGCCATGACTTTTAACGTACTATGATAGACTAAAGTGCGTCACATTGTCTATAAGGAGGAACATGTGCTGAATGCCGTAGAGACGGAGTTTACAGAGTCGATCACACTCTCGCTCTCCAGCAGTGTAGAGGGAAACTGTTTAGCCGGCCATCGGCCGAGAAACGGGGGCTGCTAAACCAAAAGTCTTGAAGTTTTGCAGCAGGCATTCCGGTGTTTCAAGATCCTTTCAACAAGATACTCTTTTGGAAGGCGTTTTAGGAACTGCTGGTCATCACTTCGTAGCTTTAGGGTGTGGTCCCTTATGGCCAGCTGATACACAGCCTATATTCCGATGAGAAAGTCGTCACTTACGTTCGGTGTAATTATCCAGTTAAGCAGGTCACGGGGATAAGTACTTCCCCCCCCCGTAGCCTTCCGTCAAGTTTCAGGGAGGTATTGGGGTCAAAGTGGGGGTAAGAAGAGTTAGGGCTACAAGTGGGAGGCGAGAGAAGGAACCCCTCCCTCCCCTTGGATTTAGTGCAAGAACTCCAGTCATACGGGAGGCACTTATTCTCTTGTTCGAAGACACCACTTCGCCCACGAATCCAGCAGACAGGATAGCGGTTCGGATTTCCCAAACAGCAAAGGACTTCTCAAACATAAAGCAGTTTGGATTACAAGGGGCTCCGATGCTTAACTTTAAGGATTGGGAGGTGTCGACGAGTTTAAATGCTAGACGACTGTGTAACTGCTGTTGCAGAGGGCACACTCACAGCAATGTTCGGCAAGCTCTGGCTGGAAAGTCAACAGGGATGCAGACCATAATGTGAAGTTGCGGCAAATCGTGGACGTAGGCTTTTCAACTGCCAAGGCGTGAATTTTTATCCCTTGTTCGACTGGTAGGTTAAATAACTCCGGTCCTATTAATCGGTGCTCGATAGCCCCACTAAACCTCTGGGCTGTCCCAACCTGCCTGCAGTGGGTTCCACATGGTTGGGTTTATTATCTTGTTTTATTATCTACATCATGTAGTATGTAATTACTTACCTAATTTTTTTCACACTTGCCTTACACATTGTTTTTTTATGACGTTATTGTAACCAAAAGGGAGTTCAAAGGCGCTCACCTACCTTTCCCTTAATAAATCTGATCTGATCTGATATGTAGTAAAGTCGTCCGCAAAGGATGTAATCCACCTCAATCTTAAGAGAAGTCGCTATTTGAGCCTGGAGTAAATCGATCAAAATGAGGTTTTACAGGCCGGGGTTAAATTCAGCACGAATGATTAGAACGAAATCCAACAGCATCGGCAGGACAACCATGTACTATTCATACGCTGCCAGCAGACAGTTAGCACTGTGCGCACGTTGCGTAATTCGCAATAATGATGACAAAGGTTCCAGATAAACACCCAGAAAGGAGTTTAACCGATATTCTGCGACCGTATAGCAGCTTAGAGGTAATCGGCTCATCGTCTGTGATCCCAGAATTTCCTGCGCATCATGATAAGCACTCAGGACTAGATTTAATCTTTGAGAATACACTTGGTCGTTCAATGTATCGGATTTAAAAGCTCTTCTGTTGAAAACCATACAACTTCAAGAGAAAGATTCCTGTCTAGCTCGACGTTGCGAGACAAACATTAGCAGGTCATTAATGTCTTGTAAGACAGACCCACACTGTGTAGTTACCCTGCAACTTCGCTAGAAAATAAGTCGCCCGTATGCTTTGCGGTCCGAAAAAAGATGCATGATGACTGGAACCAGTGAAACCAAAAACTAATGAGGCTATAACGCAGTGGGTCTATTGAGTCCTCTTTAGAGGGCGGCCGTTGGTCGGTAATAAGCCTGACCTCTGCACTACCAGCAATGCTGCGTTGATTTGACGCGTTAGCATTTGCTTGGGGTTCGAGCCGTATGGCGCATGAAACTGTCTATCGAAAAGCAAATGCACCGCCTCACCCCAACCGTTGTGCGATTTTAGTTTGACACTATTTTTCGGCCTTGAGCAGTTTCGCTGCGTCCTGTTTAACCCACTGAAATGCATAATGCGACTTGTGCCGCGAAGAGTCGCAAAAACCAACAGCTTTCAGGTGTTATTTTAACCAGGTTTTTCACGAGTCTCACTAGCCCACTCTCTTTCGTAACCTAAGTTTCTAATTGTGAGATTTTTTAATACCGTTAAATGGCCGTTCATGAAACGTCATGTATCTGCATTTACGGATGTGGCTTGTAAAGTTAACAATATTGCTCAAATCCACTGCTTAATTTTATGAACCTTATATGGTCTCCTCTTAACACCGTAGAGACATGCATGGTTTTCCGTACACGGAAAATATACAGCTTGTAGTTTTGAAACCCTGAACGCAAGTTTAACAGCAGGTCGGGTTCAAAATTAGTCGGGAATCAGAAAAGTTTTTAAAAACCGAATTATACTATTCTTTTGAGTATGAAATTGGAAAAAGACGTGATTTTCTACCGAATAAGTAAAAGAATAAATATTTTATGCATGTTTTCCACGAAATATAATTGAATTTTCAAGGGCATCGGAAATCAATGAAAAAATTGCATACAACTTAAGTAGTCATTTTTTGCAGAGTATAGATCCTGCATGCAGGCGAAAATAAGATTTTTCGAAAGCCGACACCCTGCGGTAACTGGATCATTATAGATTTATGCTGCATCATGATTAGTTTTACAACACTACTTAATTTATCTTTTCGAAACGAGAACGCATTTCGAAATTTCGGGTTGACATTTCATGAGTTAGCACATCTACTGTATGTCCGTCTGGCTAGGAAGAGGTGAGACCCGATCGGTTGCGAGCTCAATTCTCGCACATTTAATCGATACGGATCACCGAGTCGATGCCAAGGAAGCATCTCAGGTTGTCTATACGACGCCAACAAGCTTCTCTAAAGGCCTACGCCAACGGATAATAGTAACGGCCGCCGCAGTGGCTATACGGCTAGCGAATCCAGTGTTATGCTGTTAGAAAACCCTGACATAAGCGCCCTCCCTGCCGTGGCCAACGCCAACCTCAAGTGATGACGGCATGCCGTCTCAAATCCCTTATTACAGTGATCGGTACTCCGTGTAATCAATCCAAGAACATCACTCAAAGACTCGCTTACCCCCCTCCCTCAGCTCTAGGGATCAAAACCCGCTGACCTCGGCATGCGGAGAGCGTGGAGAAGATGCGTGTTGATGACCAAATTGCTCTTGAGAAACCCATAAACACTGTTTATTTTGGACATTTTCATTCCTTCATGTAAATGTATTGGCCTGAAGAAAAATTACCGAAATCACGTGTTTGCCAAGTTGACTTTCCAAGTGTAACATGGGAATATTTGCGGAACTGAAAAAGTAATTGCAAACGGGTCTCAACAACCAGCAAACCCTTTCAACTGACAACGGTAGCCCGCTGTTTCAACTCGAAAAAAGTATCTAGAGAAACTTCACAAATACAAACTCCACTAATGCCACAATTTCATAGTTAATGTCGCGAGTTCAGTCTGAACGAGGTTTCTTTAGATCTTCCATTAAGCCTACTGTGGTATTCTCGTTCTGGGGTAGTAATGTTAGTTACAGGGGTAGTAACTAATAGTAAATGATTGTAAATAATAGTGAAAATGCGATTCCCAGTTGGCACATCTAAAGAAAAGTAGGCTTTCGCCAGGAGAGGTGCATTGGATGCTGACGTCTCAAGTAGTTGTTTTGTCTACCTATCTTCAGAGACTGGGAAGACATGCACACATCTCGCCTCACATAGCGCACTTTGTTTGACGCCTGTCCCGTCAATGTCGTCTGTGTGGCTGCAGCACATTTTAAATTTAGGAAGAATATCCCTCCAATGTGATAACTGTAAAAGAGCTAAATGAGAATTCTTAGGAGGCTCAGTGTGTTAAGGATGGAACCCTGCCTCTTCGGTCATTCTCCTGCTCCTCCTACTCCTCCTCTTCCTCATCTGCCTCCTCTTTTATGCATCCATTTCAACCAGTCGAGTTCAGCCTGCAGTGTGAATCCCTAATTGGCCCTGTAGCAAAATAATGCCGTCGGCTGTCACGAAAAGGACTGAACTATGGGCGATAGTCGCCCGGAACTTGGACTTTAGACACCGGGTGCGCATACCTGTCATCGTCAAGCTGCACCACTTATGTCTGTGTTGTGTTGGTGAGTCGTTCATTCAAAACACATGACACCGAACTTCCAATGTCCGAGGGTAGTTTGACGGTATTTGGGTGGGGGGGGGGGGACGCAAACATTGTGCGGTTAGCCTGAGTCAGATTTAACTTCAGCATACTCAGTGCGTCTGCATGATATGCCCTACACGTGATTACATACCAAGGTGGATTTTTGCTTTATACCTCGAAAGCATGTGAGTGTAAATTCAGTTCGATCAAATACGCAAATCTCCGTTATTACGTCACTGCCAACAGCCTTATATTTTTCCAGTTTTGAGGTCGATTTGTTAGGAAAACTGTGAATAAACGCTGTCAAACATGGAATAGCTGACGTTGCAACTGTGTAGAAATTGGAGATCCGTTTTGCAACACAGGGTTTGTATCCTCTTTAGCAACTACATGAACTGCGTGTACCATTTGGAAGGATGGACTGTGTTTCATGAGGAGCGATGTAAAATAGATGGAATATGCATATAAAATTACATTTTTGTCTTATACTACAAAGGTGTATGCATGCGTACTTATTTTGCTGAAATGCGTAAACCCCCGTTATTATTTCACTATCGACAGTCTTTTATTTTACAGTTTCGAGGCCTATTTACTGAAAAGAAAATCAGGGAGTGAGGACTGTCAAGTAAAGAATTAATGTCATAAATGTATAACGAATTAGATCTGTTTTTCAAGGCAGGGTCAACAGCGTCTTGAACGACTACGTAGAATAGGCTTACAGTGGAAGAAATTCGATTGCTCGGCAATGTAAAAGCCAACGTGCCGAAGGCAGGGACCTGTATATGTCATGTATGTAGTCAGCCAGTGATAATTATTCACCTGCTACAGAAAGAAAGCCAATTAAATGAAGCACAATGACATGCATTGCCACGCCGTCGACTTTCTTCCAAGACATGAAGTGCATATCATGCAGACGCACTGAGTATGCTGAAGTTAAATCTGACTCAGGCTAACCGCACAATGTTTGCGTCCCCCCCCCCCGACCCACTACCGTCAAACCACCCTCGGACATTGGAAGTTCGGTGTCATGTGTTTTGAATGAACGACTCACCAACACAACACAGACAGAAGTGGTGCAACTTGACGATGACAGGTATGCGCACCCGGTGTCTAAAGTCCACGTTCCGTGCGACTGTCGCCCATAGTTCAGTCCTTTTCGTGACAGCCGACGGCATTATTTTGCTACAGGGCCAATTAGGGATTCACACTGCAGGCTGAACTCGGCTGGTTGAAATGGATTTAGCACCGATGCATAAAAGAGGAGGCAGATGAGGAAGAGGAGGAGTAGGAGGAGCAGGAGAATGACCGAAGAGGCAGGGTTCCACCCTTAGCACACTGAGCCTCCTAAGGATCCTCATTTAGCTCTTTTACAGTTATCACATTTGAGGGATATTCTTCCTAAATTTAAAATGCGCTGCAGCCACACAGACGGCATTGGCGGGACAGGCGTCAAACAAAGTGCGCTATATGAGGCGAGCTGTGTGCATGTCTTCCCAGTCTCTGAAGATAGGTAGACAAAACAACTACTTGAGACGTCAGCATCCAACGCACCTCTCCTGGTGAAAGCCTACTTTTCTTTAGATGTGCCAACTGGGAATCGCATTTTCACTATTATTTACTATCATTTACTATTAGTTACTACCCCTGTACCTAAAATTACTACCCCTGAACGAGAATATCACAGTAAGCATAATGACAGAGCTAAAGAAACCTCGTTCAGACTGAACTCGCGACATTAACTACGAAATTGTGGCAGTAGTAGAGTTTGTATTTGTGAAGTTTCTCTAGATACTTTTTTTCGAGTTGAAACAGCGGGCTACCGTTGTCAGTTGACAGGTTTTGCTAGTCATTGAGACCCGTTCACAATTAATTTTTGGTTTTAAATTTTGAGGATGAAGTTGTCAATGGGAGCATTTCTAAGGCATCTCTAGTTTTGCCGCAGTGCACTTATTTCCCCTCGCTGAGACATATTTGTTTCTCAGTTAGACGACAACACTTTGACAGTCCCAACGCCACACATTTTATCCACGCGGTCGTTGCTCTAATTCCACCCGTACTACTCCATTTTTGGCTGTGCCTCATTCGGTGCTCGCAAAGCACGGCCGACAATTGACATCGTACCAGAATTTCGATGAAAGTGAAAAGAAAATGTTCCAGGTGTTGATCTCCCTCCTTGCGTTCTCAGGATCTGAGAAGAGGTGCAACATGCACGGCAGGTTTCAATGAGTCCGCTTGTCACGTATCCGCGTGTGGCATGCTCCAACCCCCAGCAGAGTGGCCATGGTGCCAATGACGGTCACGGTGGGCATGCAAAATTGCCAACCCAGTCACCGACTGTCCTGTCTCCCCAGCACTCTTCTGTTCAGGAACACATTTCTGACTTGTTGTCAGTACCCTCGAATTTTGGGATTGCTTGATGCAGCGCATGCTTTATTTGTCGTAAACTGGCTGTGGTTTTACGTCACTTCTCCCTATCACGCATGATGGGAGTGACTCCAGTTTAAGCAACGTGTGAAATGGGAAATGGCGGAAGTTAGGATTGATTGCAGAGAGGAACATCAGGCCAATGTACTTAGGTTACGTGAGAGAGAGAGAGAGAGAGAAAGAGTGGAGTAGTGAGATTCGTGAAGAACCTGATTAAACTAATACCTGAAATCTGTTGGTTTTTGTGACTCTTCACGCCATAAGTCGCATTATGCATTTCAGTGGGTTAAATAGGATGCAGCGAAACAGCTCATGGCCGAACTATAGCCGCAAAACAGAATCTCACCACGGCCGAGGTGATGCGGTACGTTTACTTTTCGATAGACAATTTCATGCGCCATACGGCTCGAACCCCAAGCAAGTGCTAACGCGTCAAATCAACGCAGCATTGCTGGTAGTGTAGATGTCAGGTTCATTACCGACCAACGGCCGCCTTCTAAGGAGGACTCAATAGACCCACTGCGTTATGGCCTCATTAGTTTTTGGTTTCACTGTTTCTAATCATCGTACATATTTTTCCGGACCACAAAGCATACGGGCGACTTATTTTCTAGCGAATTTGCAGGGTAACTACACAGTGTGGGTCTGTCTTGCAAGACATTCATGATCTGAATTGGGGGCTCGCTGACAGAATCGTTTGACTGAATGTGTCGATTACATTTTGTACTCAGAGCCGACAAATTTGCGGTCGTTCTCGCTGCAGCCGTTAACTTCTCGGTGGCGGATATACAGTCATTGTCCATTGAGTTTTTAATGACATTTTTTAATCTTTTATTACATAATGAGGTTTTGAAAAGGAATTCTCAGTAGGATTCATATACGGTTCCAAAAAACTCTGTCCACTTTAATTCCGCAAATCGCACACGGAATTTACCATCAAGAATCCCCAAGGCGTGGCACAGCTGTTTTCACTGCAAGTGTTCTCTTCAAGATCGTAGATTCCTCAGGGACATCAGACGCCCTAAATGGATATTATTTTGTTATCATATCAGAAGTCCTGTTGAAGTGGTATCTGATAATGGTGTGGTTGTTGTAGGTATGACAGCAAAGAGGAATGCATATCGGAGTGCGTCTTGCCCCCAAGGCCGTGCGCATTGTTGGTTAGGTTCAGAAACCCTATTACAGTGGTTGGACAGGTTCTTGTTGTCGGAACTGTGCTTAGTATTTCCTTAGCACTTTTCGATGCGCCAGTAGACCTCGCTGTGAACTACTTTTTCTGCCGTAAATGGCCTTGAGGATAGCACATGTGAAATGTGGCTCACGCAGCACACATGGAAGGTGCGCATTCACAATGATTCTAACTTTAACCAGTTGGAATTCGAGCTGACGCAAAACCTATTCCGTGGCCCACACAAAATGGCTATAGGCTGCTGCTAAAAGAAAATGCCTTATTTTAACCTACGGTTGGGAGATGAAGTTTAACGTACCTCAATCGTTTCTGTACTTATATGCTAATTAAAAAGAACCACATACTTGATCGCATATCTACAGACACCTCTGACACCCCTTCCAATGATTCATCCGCTTGAAAACCGGACTATGCCCCGACCTATCCAAAATCATAGGCTACCGATATTTTTTTGGACTCTGGCGAACGAATGAACTTTGTTATAAGACACCTATCTTAAATAGCCACACGGGAGCTAATGAGTAACAGTCACTCTCAGCTGTCTCATTAGTTGTCTCACATCGAAATGTGCTTGCATTAATTTCATATTTCAGGACTCATCATGGAAATTTGGGGCTATGCTGAAGTATTTTAGCATTCGATCTTCGATTCTTATGATTGCAAAGATGCATATGGCAAGTGGGGGAACCAAGGAATTAAACAAGTTTTCGGGTTCTAAACTTTTCATCACAGTATTTGCCGACGACTGTTATAAAGACGACCTAATGTTGAGGGAACAAGTAGATGCGGAAATTCATAAAACTTCCGCGTCGTGATTTAGTTAAGGAAGTTCATTGTTGCATTCTACTCCTCAGCCTTATCTTTTAGACCTACACCGAGACATGGCTAATTCCTCTTTAAATAACAGGTTCACGACACAGCTTACAGTCCAGTGTCAGGCGGGCTTTTTTGATTCGCATGTTTACTGTTAAGCCGAGCGTCAGACATGAGATTTTTAAATAATTCATGCAGGTGAATTGCAAACACTTTTCGTTTATAACGCGTGTGAACGCGTTTTGATGTTGCCGACACGGTTGAGGAAACAATCAGCCGTCCTTTCCCATGGGAGAGTGACGGCAAAACACCCGTTTAAAATGTCCCTCGGAGCAACAAGTGTGTCGTGGCAACTGCTTAAAAATTTTTTTGTTTTGAGCTGCTGAGCACGTGTGCGAAGGGAGGGGGGCAGTAATTTAGTTCATTGTCAGAAGTAGGAGCGTTTGGATTAGAACTGACTCAGCGCATAAATATACTGGTTAGCAAGTTGGCGATTGGGGGATCAGGACCACTTCCCGCGTTCATGTTCACCAGAGCAACCCCCGGGGCGGTCCGTTCTCAATTAGACCAACAGGAATTCCGAAATTAATGGTATTTCCCAGTCTAATGTAATTATTAGACGAAAAGCCCCGCGCGTTACCACCTTCTTCACAGAGATTCAAATAGGCGCAGTCAGGGAATGAATCATTGCGTGCCGTCTCCGTACTTAAAGTACACCACATTAGCAAAATTCACCTGCTGGAGCACACAGTGGGTTCTAAAGGGGAAACAATCAGGCAAGTGCTGACATGAATAACATGGGGAAACACTTCAGCGTTGCACTGAATTACCGCTGCTCTCTTACCGTCATGCAAAACAAAAATTAGTATAAGGTGATAGCATATTAAGGGCACAGGTACTAGCCAAAAGCCCATACACGCGTGTTTCGCCGATATTCTGCCGCTGCATGACACAGCTGCGAGGGTTTCGGCTCGTTAGTTGGTCCCCCAGAATTCCCTGTCCGCTTTCTGGTGAATACTCCAATTTAGAAATTGTAGCTTTTTAATTTCCCTAGAAACTTGGAGTAGATCATTATATTCAAGGTCTGTAGCTAAGACCTAAGTTCTTATGCTTAAGTATTTGGCTGTTAGTATGGAATCACCTTGCCCTAAATTATACTAGTAGCTGCCTGTCGGAAGTTAATTAATATTATGCGGTCATCCACTGTGGCTGATGGACTTCGACCCAAATATTTAAACATAAAAACATAGGTCCGAACCTATAGACCTGAAATATGCTGATCTACCCCAAGTTCGCAGTTAATTTCTAAGGAAATTGAAAGCTTCAACAAAAAATAGTGTCATACTGACCATAAGGATACACTTATGAGGCAGATGTATTGGAAAGCAACACTATCTATTGCTGAGATATGCTTTCGAAAGGCTGTTTGGTTAACGACTGGGATAAATTAGTTGGTTCCACTTTATTTTACTAAAAGTTTGCTCACGATGATCTTTGCGTAGTAAATATAGGAGAACTTTATCGGGCCTCAAGACCTGAGCTGCCTCAGGGCAATTTTATGCCATTTTTCCGGCTGACTGAAAATGACATTTCCTCAAGCGGATCAACAAGTCGGACTAGTTTCCGGCACCAGCAGGGAGACCTCATCGTTCTATGGTCGGACAGTGGAATATGAACCCCCGATCTAAAGGCGGCCTCGCGTTAAATTCCTGGGAATACCCATACCCCTGTCCTGACCCCAACCCTCCTAACCCTAAATCCGACCCTCGTCACAATAACCGTCATAATACTTGCCCTAATCCTTAGCCTAAAATTAAACCCGGGAATTCCAGACAGGGCAACTTGTGTTGTTGTTTTGCTAGTAATACGAAGATGCTGTTCAGTTTTCAAAACTGATGAAAGTGTGAGTGTACTTCGTGATGGTTTCTTGCAGGAACGTGTGAATTCTGTGCAAGGTCGACGTGCGGAGGCTCTGACTTAATCGAAAACAACGACGCGTTCGTGCGTGCATGAGGCGATACTGGGGGGCAAGTTTCTTCGCAACCCCTGTTGCATCACCTGTCGCAATCGTTTTCTGGTAGCTTCGCACCGAATCAGCAATATGAGAATCGGCTCCTAAGATGGGCGCCACGGGTATGTACAGCAGCAGTTATGGACTCAGACGGACCCCGCGCGGCTCGAGTAACGCGTTCTGTGAACCAATCTGACCTCAGCTTGATCTGGCGTATCTGGAGAGCAGTCTGCGCTGTGAGCCGAAAACATACACAGTTGTGTACGTAAATTAAAGCCACAGTGCTCAAACTCTATAAACATTCACACCCGTTACATTTTATATATTACGCGGTAGAACTGACCTGAAAATGAGCCATATCACCAAAACGAGCATGCGATTCTGATTAGTAACACAAAAAACAATGGTGAAACAAAAGAAACAATGATGGTAAGAAACAGTGGCGATCAGAAACGTCCGACTCGAATAAGAGTCCGGACTACTTTGGGACTTGCTTTGGTTATTGTCCAAATACTTTTATTGATTTAGGGTAAGGTTATTCCATACTAACAGCACATGTACTAACCAAAAGTTTATACACGCGTGTTTCGACGATACTCTGTCGCTGCATGACACAGCTGCGAGAGGTCGGCTCATCAGTGGGTCCCAGAATTTCCCGCCTGCTTCGTGGTACGTACTCAAATTTGAAAATTGTAGCTTTTTAATTTCCTCAGAAGTTGACTGCTAACTGGGAATAGATCAGTTTATTCTAGGTCTATAGACACAGACCGAACTTTTTACGCAGGAATATTTGGGCCGAAGTCCATCGGCCATAGCGGATAACCGCGTAATATCCATTAACTGCCGACAGTCAACTGGTAGTATACTTTAAGTCTGAGCCATAGACCTTAAATATACTGATTTATTCCAAGTTCACAGTCAATTCCTGAGGAACTTTAAAAAGCTACAATTATTAAATTGGAGTTTCTACCAGAAAGCAGACAGGGAATGCTGGATGACCCACTGACAAGCCTAACCCCTCGCAGCTGTGTCATGCAGAGACAGAATATCGGCGAAATACGCGTGTATGGGCTTTTGCCTAGTACCTGTGCTGTTGGTATGGAATCGTATTACCTCAAAGTATACTGCTAGCTGAATGTCAAAAGTTAATGAATATTGCACGGTTATTCGCTGCCGCTGATGAACTTCGGCCCAAATATCCATGCATAAAAACTTAGGTCTGAGCCTATAGACCTTAAATTTACTGGTCCCCTCCAAGTTCACAGTTAACCTCTAAACAAATTAAAATGCTACAACTTTTACTGATTTCCTTAAAAGCTTGCCAGTCTAGGATTTTACATAAAATTATGAATCCTTTCACGCCGTGAATTAATATTTCACAGGTGATATCGACCCGGTAACCTTCCAACTTCAAAATAACTGTTTGGCCTTTTTGTATTCGTCACCAAACTCTCCGCTGCTTACGGGTCAGACGTACGAAGAGACATACAAAAAGTGCAAATTATTTATTTAGGTTTTTTATTTGAGTGAAAATCTTTAAAACATTGCTTCTCTGCAAAACACTGCCCATTAGATAATATGCAATTGTACCAACGGATTTTTTACTGTTTAAATTATTTGCCACATTCTTCTGCACTAATACTGTTAAGTACCTCACGCGATTTTCGCTTACCCTCTTCTACGTTCTGCAAATGCCTTCCATTTAGGCTTTTTTCCTTCGTTGGAATAGGAAATTGCATAAGGACCAACTCGAGCTAGTAAGGACGGTTAGAAACCGTGTTACGTCAAAAACTGGATGATTGTAAATCTTGTATGGACATGCGCGTTGACATGATGGAGCAGCCAGTCCCCCGGTCGCCTCAAGTCAGGTCGTTTCTTTTTCGCTGGCTCACAACATGGCTTCTACACTTGTATGGTGTATGAGGAATAAATTCAACGTGAGCGACTCCTTTGGTGTCGAAAAAAAACAAACCGTCATGAACAGGAGAGAGAATTTAAGGTTAAAGCTTTGATCCCTAAAGAGTTTGTCATCGCGAAGAGCCTTGGGACGTGAGAAATCAATCTCTCTGTCCGCTGCGACAGTTTCCCGCAAACGTTTTTTAACCATGAGGAATGTCCAGTAAAAGTGCTTGGCTAGAGAGCATCACTACTAGCCCACTTACCCGTAGAAAGTAATTATCCTTTTTGGGTACCCCTAGGTGGTGACTTAGGTTCCTTCGGAGTCATTTACCGGATCTGATGCAGTTGCAGACAAAGCAACTACTTCGGAGTAACTGGAAGATTACTCCGTACGCGAATTGCCAAGAACGCAGCAGCAGTGAGGCGGGGAGACGATAGCTCTCAGGTGGCGGCACATTCGACGGGACCCGACCATATTTTCGAATTTCAAGAGGTCGAAATCCTCGCAAGGAGTGGCAACCGCGTGAGCTGCGAGCTGCTTGAGTCATGGTTCTCAGGCCCGCAATCCATCAACAAGCGCAATGACCTCCCGGTACCATATTCCGTGCTGAGATTTTCCCTGGATAAAGGAATGAGTCACGTGGGGAGGTCGCGGTGAGCAATTATCCCAGTGACAGTGAGCCAATTTGCCGGGCAATCGTCACACTAGCATCCAGCACGGATGACGAAATCACGACAATTAACGACTCGGACTCGGACCGACAAGCTACCACCGCATCAATTATGACCCCAGCGGTGATTGCGAGAGCTGTTACTTACAGTGAGCATATGGTCCCACGGCAGCCACGTGCTATAGATATTGCACTCCTTGTGCCACCTTCACCTTTATCTGCGGCTGTCTCTGATGATGGATTCGAGTGAGAATCCGAGACGTCAGGCAAATAAATTTCTTGTTCCAGTGATCTCATCTTCGTCTTCTGAATTGCTGCCTGGAACTCGCCTGTTCGTTCCTATCAGCATGTTATCTCTGTTTAGTCGTTCCAGTAAAGTAGAAACAACGTGATATGTGGCTTCTGGCCTAACTCCTTTGATTTCCAATTGCTGTTCAGGACGTAGTCTTCATAAAGCTTATCTTTCCTAATTTTTCAACCACAGAAAATTAGCACATGCTATGCGACAATAATATAAGCAAAGATTCTGCAGCAGTCTGTGGCCTCGTTAGTTTGTGCAGACGAGTTTTTCCTGAGATCTCTGGAATAAACACCGACGATTATTTGGAAGACACCTTGCAGAAACTCTGATTGCTGAAGAACGTTGATAGAAGAAACAGGTGGTTGGCACGAGCAAGACTAGAACTGACGTCTGACTTTAAATGATTTTTCCATTTATGCTCACTATGTGTTTAAGTGTCGTGCTTTTCAGAATGTTCGGCCTACACTTCCTTTATACTGAAGGATTTTAATTTAATTTTTCGTCTATAAGTCCTAACCTCCTCGACATGCTCCTACGTCCTGCGTCGAAACAAATGCAGTCTCTGATGAGTGCACTGGTCATAAAGCGAAATGGATTACATTCTCGATATTCCATGATTTATCTGCGGTCGTACGTACGACAATTCGTCATCGTTACCGACGATGCCCACCGTGTGCCCCACAGCAGGATGAGATCAGGGACTGTGATTTGCGCGTGGGTCAAATTGAAGTAAAAGAAGACTTTCGCTGCACCTACCACACTCTCTCCTCTTCCCCAACCTTGACCCGGTGTCAAGAGAAAAAACCAAGAAGACCGGAGGCGGGAGACGGCGCAGTTGGATGGTACGACGAATATCCGCACCCACGAGCGTCAGCACATTCCCTCTCCCCCACATCGAACATTGATCAGGATTTTACGCAATAACACAAATAAAGGGCGGCAGGGATGCTAAATGGATCGCTTCGGGCTTGGCACCACGTCCCAAATAGGTGTGTCTTTCGGATAACGGCTGCTGGAATCTCATCTAGCCCCTGTGCTGGTCTAGCGCATCTATCGCGTGGACAAAGATGATACACAAAGGACACATTCCACCCGTACCCGGCCGATTGAACTAAACGGGTGTTAGGATTATTGCGGACCCACTTGTTCTTTGTAGCGCAAGACTTCGAAAAAAGATCACAACATTTATGTTGCACTTCCCGATTAACTGTTATATTAATGAGGTTGTATTATTGATGTTTTAGACGTCTAATTTTCCAACTTACAAAAAAGGCTCGAAAGGGGGGCTAGAAATTGGGACTAAAGTTGGAAGTGCACCTGGGGTGGCTTGGGATCACAACGCCTTCTCAGGTCATCCTACTGCACATGGCAACCCGGATTTCGTAGACCACCCTGAATTTGAAGTGTGAAGATGGGAGTTCACCTATTTGCGAATGAGTTGTGAATTTTTGGCAAGTCACTCAAAATGTTGCTTCGTCGCCGACTTAGCCAGGTGCAGAAATGTGATATGGATGTCTATGTAGCCAAAACCGTTGGGCTTTTAAGGACAAGCATTCATTTTTAAACTTTTGCTTACGTTCAACTCTTATTTTCAAACCAAATCAAACTACCTCAGAGATAAGATGATGACATTGCGCTGACAGTATATTTAAGATGAGGCTGTGCGAATTTAACCGATGAGTATTCCTGAGCCACATTTTTGCATTGTAAATCAAGGATGTCTCTTTCTTTAACGGCATATCACCGCTTATCTACCTTCCCTCCCTGGGCTTTTACTTTACTGAGCGAGTGGAGCCTTGGTGCCTAGAGGACTTTTGGCATAAGTAACAACTGTTTGTCCGAAAAGTCATGAAAATGATTTAAATACTCAAATAAAAATGTAAAGTTTGAGATAATGAAGCAACAACGTCCAATCTACTTTGATAGAGCAAGTCATGTCTAAATCAGTTGGTTGCCAACATCTTTAGTCTGCAGAAGACAAATTAATCTATTGAATTCACGTTGGCTGTTATCGACTTATGCTTCGATAGAGACTGCACATTGTCTGACTTTTGGTAAGTTAAGGTCTTTTTTGTCTCCCGAGATAGTACTCTTTAAAAGAACACTTTATTACGTAAAAACTCATGGTTCAGATTTGCGTGCCTACCCATAAAATTGGGTTAGGAGAGTTGTAATCGAACCTATGTTAATAGACAGAGAACTTTGTTTAGGAGCGTAAAAATGCTGATTCCCTGTGAATGGCGCAATTGTTATGGCGGTCGATACATGTTGTTGCTACCAAAACTGTTTATGTGGTTCTTGCATTTCTACGCATCGATCCAAGTCTGCAAACAGCGTAGGCGATCAGGCAGTAGAGGATGGGAGCAAAAGCAGTTAAACTTATCGTGTAACTGTTTTTTTCTTTTCGTACAGCAAAAGGGATCACCAATTCAGAGTTTCTATGATAATACTCCTGTTATTATCAAAAGTTCTTCTGGTAGAGTTGAAATAGCCAGAATCAACGGATGTTGATAATTTCTTTATAATACAAAAACTAATAAGGAAGGTAACCTGACTTCCCAGTTCAAAATCCACTTAACCGACTATCCTGAGAGATGACAATTAAATATTAATTTGGTCTTTGAATAATATGCATAAATCTGACAGCTTTATTAAATATGGGGAGTTTAAGGTCCTAAAGGGTCGTAATTTACAGTCTTTTGACGGATATTGTCTGCGTTTTGTCGTTGTATAGCTAAGTAGGCCGTCACATTTCCCTAAAGTTTGTTCTAACGACGGATAATGTACTCGTCCAACTTTGCGAGACGTCGGTAGGTAATGCGTGCGCCTACCTCTGAAGTCGGTTAATCATTTACACTAGGACTCAGTGGAGAAGACGAGATAACGTTTCAAGTTAGGAAAGACTACGACTGAGGGGCAACTACGAATGTGTGAACTTTAGACCACCGAGTCTATATGGCCTTCTAGAAAACCTTCAATATGCAGAGACAGTAAGGAAACAATCTCGCAGATGTTCACATTGGGCCAGATGTGGTTAGACATAAGCAATTCATGGAAGTTGATCGGCCAACAAACAATGCAAATATCAACAGTAAATTTCAAAAAATAAGTGCAATATTTCGAAGTGCGCCAGAATGCCGGGACTATAAGTTTAATACGTAAACAGATCTAGACAAGGATTTGCCATGACCCGCTTTGTCCAGATTGTGAAGCATTTGGAAAAAACAACAAGTTTAACTTTGTTTTACAGCAGACAGTAAACGTTAACACTGTGCAGTTGCTGCCTAGAACTGGAGCGTACAACGCATGACCACTAAAGATACGTGTACACGCAGTCTGTGGAAGGAATTTATGATCGAGACTTAAGCGAAAAATTTATTAAGCAACATAGTATTGCAATCGTGCTTCCCTTCAAGGTGTTAGATAGGATGTGGGCGATTCGCCCTATCAACTCAGCATGAATACATAAATACTTCCTACAATGACAAAAACCGCTGTATTTCAAGTAGTCATAAAGGATTCAGGCGGGTTTAACACATGCGGAGTTTGACTTTAAAACTAGTACGACAGTATTTTTGCGTGCGTGGAACTTTCTGCTGAATATTTTCTTTTTAATATATCGTTTGACAACAATTTTCAGATGTTGAGACAGTTCCGAAAGACGTTAATGTAGATATAACCGTACGGAGTGGATTTAATTGTTAATAAACAAAGATACTTTTAAGCTGACTTATTCAGTCCCAAAAACTGGTATTTTTAAAAAAGATCGTAATTAGAAGCCCTAAAGCGTTGGGTTTAAAGCAAATACAAGTCAGTATGCCTGTACAAAAACGAAAATTAGAATAAACTGATGTCATCGAGAAATGCATAATAGGGGTCTGAGGCCTTGGGGGTTTGTCAAAGCGGCTGTTTGTTAATGACCTGCCCATCTAACCACTGCTTGGATAGACCACGTTTTCGTATTGATATTGCATAGTAAGGGTGTTGTCTGTAATTTTGGTCAACTCAAACCTGGAGATTTCCAACCGTTTGACATTTTTATGAATTTGTACCAATGTTTGAAAGGGGATTATGAGTTCGCGACGACTGACTCCACATATCTTTTTAGCAAATTCCTTCAAATGCGTTTTGAAGTACATCAATCGGTTTTCTCTGCGCAAAAGAAGCACTGACCGGTCTTTTGCGGTCGCGAAGCTTGCGGGTTGGCTGCATCTTTTACCAAAAGGCGCTCCGTGTTCCACTTCGATTATATACACCTTTTGAATAAAGCGCATACCGGAAAATCTTCAACTAAATATCTGCAGGTCACACTTACAGTTTACATTACCCCTTCTCCCATCAACTTAATTGGTTGGGACACCTGCATGAATTGATTCAGAAATAGGAATAAGAACAACCATGGGTCTTTGGATTCTAAATTTAACTCCAAGAAGGTTTGTGATTGCGATGGACGATCGATAGAATACCTGTTAATTAGCATATCACCCTCTTTGCTAAGTACAACTCCTGAATGGCTAAGGAATTCCGTCATTTCCTTTGCTTTGCATGCCTTGGTCACGGTGCGCAGGGTGAAAAGAGAGTAAATATTTTGGAGTTTTAGCAGGCCCATACGATTTCATCCCTAATTTGTCGCTCATAATTATTGTCTACATGCTATGATGCATTTGTCAGATATCCCTGAATTTGTTTGTAGTGTATATTGATCTTTTGGCCACTCAGTTTGCGTTGCTGCATAGTTGCTGTTTTGCTGTTTTAACGAATTTTAATAAGTCAAAGGAAACATTTGGTCCGGTGGTCGCGTTTTAACACAATGAAAATAAGTCACAAGTATAGGAAAACTACTTAATAATACATTATCCAACAATCATAACTAACTGACGGCATTTTTAGGAAAGGTCTAAATATAATTTGCGCGGAATATGATCTATTATCTAAGATTAGGAATTTAGACATGGGCCGAAGTGTCAGACGCTAACCATATTTAAGGGTAAGGCACGCTTACTTACCTACAAATATTTACCAGTATATATTCCTATCCATAAAACGTTTATACATAAAGGCATGCTCAGAATGGTAGTACTGGTTTACCAATCTTATTGTTATGCTCGATGCGCATCGTACATAATAGTTAATTTTGGCGTAAGCGTAATGGTTTGTTATTTTCGTTTTACTCTTTATATTACCTGAACAAAAAGATACAATCATTCGATAAAAAATTTCAGAGGATGACGATTAATCGTCATTTGTAAATTTACAAATAAAAAATGTTGTTAGCTTCACCCGCAAAAATAAGAGCGCTGAGAAACACGAACTGAAAATACGAACACTTGACTTACTTTTAGGATTCGGACGAATTCGGTCCTTGTAATAACACCGTTTTTGTCTTGGTCATATAGCTCGAAAGCCCAATTTATTTTCTCTTCCATGGACCCGTTATTAATGATGCCAAGTGCACACGTAAATTCTGTAAAGTCGACATTGCCGTTGCCGTCACTGTCAAAATTGTCAAAGACGATGTTTGCGAATGCCTCTGAATGCCCCCCGGGAAAAAAGTTGGAGTATACTTCAGCAAATTGCTGACGATCCATTGCCCCACTCGGAAAATTCTTTTTAAACTGTTTGTACCATGCCTTTATTTCCCGCGATGACATTCGAGATTTTTGTTGAAGCATTTCACATGTCTTCGGGTCCAGACCCGATGTCTTGTTACCCATTGCGATAAATAATGCTTTTTTTGATAGCACGCGCGACCGCTGTATTGTTTAAAATTTGTTACCGCATAAACCCGGTCCCAGGGTGCACATCGGTTACATAGGTGTCAGGCCTCAGTTCCATCGTTTTCTATACTGCTATAGTGGGATGGACTCCTTTTTAAGGGCATGTTTACAATCTCCTAGCTATGTTATTCATGGTTATTGAGAAGGTTATGAAAATTTGCCGTTGATGTCGAGGTTTCGATCCAGCAGCATTTCTAATTAGCAGGCTGTGGAAACGTTACAGCATGTTCGTCTTACGGATAGGAAGGATGTCCTTGATTCAAGTGCTCTGAAAGAAGGTTCTTTTCCGCCTAAAGCTGTTGTTTACAGCCGTTGCCGAATCAACTCTGGCGCCAATCAGAATATTGGAAATCTCGTTGGACTTTCCTTTTTTTCTAATAGGCCTCCGTAGGAGAGGAGGATTTTCGTCAGACAACCTCGGACAGTGTCACTAACTTCTCGACCTTCAAAAGGCTCCGCTGTTCATCATACATTTCCCCCAGAATTTTTTCTGACTTTGTACACCACACCGGCCTGACGGCCATAAAATGTTGCGTCAGTAAGCCGAAAAGTTGTTGGCCGACTGTAAGCGACCGTTCGTCTATATAACTACCGGGTGGATTATTTCAGCACCCAGGTGCAAGAATGCGGACAAGCAATCAATCATAAAAATAGTATCCTGCACACGTCAAGGCTGTTTGCCACCAGCAACAGTGCATATGCCAATTATAGTCGAGTGGACCTTCAGTTCCAACTCGAATCATTCAAAAATAGAAGTAATGCCAAATAACATGCTTCCTATCAAACGGTTCAAACTCATAAAAAAACGCAGCATCCCATACTCCTAGACGCTCTTTGAAATCCTAGGCAGACGCCCAGTAGGCCGCCGATAGTTTCACTCATTTCTTGTCCAAAACGTTCATTAAAAACTCCGCCGTTCAGTCCCCAAACATCCAGACTTGGACCGGGGCGTTCTCAAAACTTTAACTTTCACTCTTGGGACGTGACTGTAGTGAATCGGCATTTTCGTCACTTTCGTAGGCCAGTAACCTGATAGTGTCCCAGTTAGCATTTTAAAAGTGGATGCAACTAGGTATTGACGATTGCGACATAAATGTGCCTGGGTGTACCATACTTCAAGAGTCTTAATCTTCCGAAGCACTGCCCTCTGGTAGTCTCCAAAGCACGCAGGACTACAGGGTCTATCTTTCGAACTTTTAAAACTAGTGATCTAAGAATGCGCCCTCATAAAATGTACGCCAGACCTGGCCTGGAATTCTGTCCGTTTTCTTTAGCCTCATATGTGCTGCTGAGCGGAAGAAGGTAGACTCTGTCCAACATTTCTTTTAATGAGAGAGTGTTTATCTCGGAACGCCGGAATTAGACTTAAGAAGAACGTTGCGAGCTTACAGAACTTTTTCTCGAATGGTTTTGTCGATTATAAAAGGGCTTATTTTTAGTATTTTAGCCTTTAAACAACCGCACCTTTAATCCGCCTACTGTTTTCAAACATCTTAGCCACTGGGCGTAGAAGTCACCATGGGATCTATTTAGTTCTTCCTCCGGCACGTACCGTTAACTACCATGATTTCTTTTCTGTGAACGCAATTTGATAATTTTTATTTAATAATTTTTATTTAATGCCAGTTTACAGGCATTGTCAAGGGAAGATTTAAACACAAATTTGGAACAATTTGGTACAAGCTACCCAGGAATGTGAAAATTCTGCAAGACTATTCTCTGTTTAAGACAATTACCAGTCGTTTTTTGCATTCAGAAAAAATCCCACGATTACTTGAGGCTGAATCCACCGATTTAATCTGCCGTAGTGATGACGTTCGTGGTCACCGATCCTCCTGTCCGGCCTCATTCCCTGAGAAATGGTGCTGACTCTACAGCCTGCAGCACTAGGGACGATTTCGTGGAAAGAAATGGAGACTGAAATTGTCCAATGCAGTGTTACCCATGCCGTTCAGGGCTGACGCCATTTAACGGGCCGCAGTTTTTCTCCGTACCCATCCAAACTATACAAAAACGCCTACCTCTGTATTTACTCCTCGGGAGTTCTTCGTTGTTAGCCCGATCCGTGTTTTATCTTTTTTTATTACAATGCCTGTAAACTGGCATTAGATAGAGTTACTGTTATTATTATCCCTACACTCGATTATAGTGAATCGTAGAATCCGCTGATCGCCTTGGCGTGGCGTTCTTTACAGATCACACGAGCCTCCACTCCGCTGAGTATCCTATCAGCAGGGAATGATGTCCTGACGCCCAAATTTGCTGATGGAACTGGAGAGGCTTGATTCGATAGTTCGCAGTTGACTGTGCAGGATGGTATGACAATAGCCAACCAGGACGAAAAGGAGGCTGTGTCCCGAAAACTTCTCTATATAATGTTGCCGAGAACCATTGCCATCAAGTGTGTAAGCGTTCCTACCGTAATATACGTATAATCTCCTTTTTACACACAGCGTCCTAATAGTCTCAAAAAACTAGAACCTACTCAATAATATTTATTCGTAAATCGAGGCAAAATTCCAGAAGCTTCTTGACACCATTTACTTTTCAAATCTGCCTCAATTAGTCCATTATTCGACCAGAAAGGATAGTGTATTAGACTTAATGTTCACTAATGGCGCCTCCCCTCTATCTATGGATTTATATCATGACCTTTTCGCAAGTGATAAGGCCTAATTCATTGTCGCCTTCCAGTTGCCATTTCCGCAAAGCCGACAGTACAACGCAGCATTTTTGACTTTGCTAATATTAACAAAGAGTCAGTAAATAATTTTACAAGCACTCTTGATTGGCACGATATTTCTTCAAATAATGATCTACATTTTTTCAACAATTTATTATAATGCTTAACGGAAGGTCTTCTCGACCTAATTTCACGGAAGACATTCAAATCGAGTGCCACTTCCATCGCCGTCGCACACTTTCTTAAAAATAGACTTCAAAAGCTATAGAAACAGTTTAAAGATCCTTCTGTGAGCTCATTATCAGTTCACCTAAGAATTGTCGAAACATTTGAATTATCTTCGAAAATGAGACATGCGTGAGATAGGCGCAGAGAGTCTTTAGCTTTTAATGACGTGAATGCTTCTAAATCAGTTGCTCAGATCTTTCGTCCAAGATCATCAGCTAAATCCCATCAAGTCATTTCGCCTTTGCTTAGTACCAACGATGCGTACATTACAGAGGAGTCAGGCAAGGCAGAAATATTAAATTCATTCTTTGCCAAACATTTCACCATTGAAACTGACCCAATCCCTTTTATTCCTCCGTTGTCTGATGCATTTCTCAGCATCATTAATCTTTCTCCTGAAACTATTCAAAAACTGATAAACCATCTTTCTAACCCTCACTCAGTAGGTACGGACAATATTCCAAAATCTCTTATACGACAGCTAAGAGATTTTCCTCCTCTGCTTAGCAAACTCTTTTCTGTATTTCTCGTAAATGGCTTCTTTCCTGACTATTGGAAACTTCTATTATTATTCCTGTATTTAAGTCTGGCCGTCTCTCTGACGTTCAGAACTATCGCTGTGTCCATAAAACGCCTTCTCTCGCTAAAAAGTTGAAAAAATTATCGCCTTGAAAATTGCCGACTTTTTCATAGCCAATCAAGTTATTAGCACTTCTCAGCATGGTTTTTTACCAGATCGCTCTTGTGAAACATATAATCTGTCGTTTCTTAATCTACTTACCCCTCTTCGTATTGACCATCTATCTGTTGTCGTTATTTATTTTGATCTTATTAAAGCGACATCTGACTCCCTCCTTCCTCTTTCTCCGACATCTCCATCTCACTCGAACCACTTGACGCATTTGCCTGCCCCTAAACTTGCAGCAGCAGCAGCAGCCCCATTTGTCGTTTCGTATCCTCCGGATAGTCACGCTGAG